AAAAAAAAAAAAAAAAAAAAAAAAAAATCTCTTATAAGGAATGTCCCACCAAGGTAGGAAACTTCCTCACCACCCTATCTAAGGTATTAACTCTACCGTGAATAACATACCAAGCAAAATACTTAACCTTCTTTGAGATTTTCACCTTCCACAATGACGCAAAAACAAAATCCCCAAAGGAGAGGAGGAAGAGGGATTAACCATGCAAAAAAAAAAGGACCTACACGAAAAACCTCCGGTCGGGCTAGGGCTCCAACAACAAGCATCCCTCCTCAAAAACAACAGAATTCCCCCAACAAAGAAAGGAGGTCGACAATGTCCAACGTTTCCCCCATATTGGACAAAGGATGCTGGAAGCCCAACAAAGGCGAGGGAAAATACCTAGGATGTGATAGAAAATCGGCTATCAAATGATTATTCATCATAAATAAATGATAAAGATGAGGAAACACAAAGCAGTGGGATCTATCTCCGAACCACTTATCTTCCGACCCAAAAACTCTCTTCCATCCCCACAGAACAATGAACAAAGCAGAAAAAGGTGTACTCCTCAGCAATGTCTTTCCAGGGGTTTCTATATGTGCCTCAACCTCCATACAAGGTCCACTCAAAAGGAAATCCCTTATATGCTTCTCGAGACCCTCAGTCCCATGCACAAGGACCCTAAAAAGAGAAAAGAAATAAATTGGAATTTCCTTGAGACAAATTGAATTAGAGTTAGTCTAGTACCTTCCAAGAAGGAACTCATATTCGAAGATGAAAGCCTCCTATGAACCTTACCCACAACAAGGTCACAGAACCGGATAGGTCTAGGATTATGCCCAAGTGGGGGACGAAGGTAAGAGGAAGGAAACGAACCAACTTCACATCCAACCAAGGCAGCCCACCTACTCATCTTCCACGGCTCACAATTCAAACCCAACCATTGACACTTACCTCTATTAATCTTCAACCATAAATGGGTTCAAAGAAAGCTAAAAACTTATTCAGATTGAAGAACGACTCTTCATTACCTGAGCAAAAAAAGGTAGTATCATCAGCATACTAGAGATGAGAGAGGGGCAACTTATCCTTCCCGACGTTAAAACCATCGATAGCATTATACTCAACCCCTCGCAAAAAGATCCTACTCAAAACATCCACCACGAGAAAATGAAAGGGCAAAAGAGGATTCCTGCTGAAACCCTCTTGAAGCACAAATCCTACCCTTCAGTCTCCCATTCGTAAGGATTGAGTACTTAACCGATCTAACACAACTCCAAATCCAAGATTTCTATTTATACCTAGAAACCTTCTTGGCTATGACTTCATACAAGAAATTCTAACCTATATGCCTCTTCAAAGTCAATCTTGAAGATGACCCCTTCCTAATTGTGAAATCTGTAGTTAATAATCTCATTCGCAATAAGGGCCAGACCTAAAATTTGTGTACCAGCAATAAAAGCATCCTGAGAATATGCTATTGCCAAAGGAAGCACCCTTCTCAATCTGTTGGCCAACACCTTGGCGATACACTTCTCAATTTTTTATATCCCTAAATTTTGAATGGTAAGTCTATAGTCTCTACTGTATCTAAATGATACTGTGATATGCTTATTCCTATTCAACAAACCTAGGCTGATTTGAAATCAAGAAACAAAAAGCAAGCCACTGAACATAATAAAATGACACTATGTCATACTCTCTTTTACAGACCATGAACTAAGTTAAGTAGAGATCTAATTGAAATTTTTGGAAATCTAAAGATAGAACAGACAGAACTATCAGAGTTCAAGGATTGGATTTCCAAGCCATAACTTAACTTGTATAAAGGAAACCAAATTGTACTAAAAAAAAAATAATCTACAATAAGAGTATATCATTATAATTACCTCTAAACCTTCATCGTAGTAGATTGGACGCTTTGCCCTCTTAAAACCATACTCATTTTCATTTAGAAGAGATCTCCTGATCTGCATTACGTGCATACAAGCAGAAAGGCAATAAATAGAATTTCCAAACTATTAAAACCACTTGACACATTCTGAAATTTGTATGTAACGATGACATATGTGGGGCAAATAAAAAATAAGCCTTCTGCATTTGCATATAAAGATTAGAAGAACTATAGAGTATAAGTGCATTTGTCCCCTCATCCATTTTCTTTTTAACTTCATGAAATCATCTAAACAGATGCATGTTTATGTGAATATTTAAAATATACCCTAGCTGAATCAGAACAACAATGGTGATATGAAATCCAAATGTTCAATGTTAAAATCTTATTTGCCAGAGATGATATGTAAGATATTAGAACAAAACTACAAAACATTGACTTCACCTGCGGTGCGAAAACATAAGCTAATGTTCCAAATACAGCACCCCCAAGAAGAAACCCAGCAACAAAATCCCCACCTCCACTTCTACCACCATCACTGTAACAAAAAAACAAACTTGTAGCTATTAGTCCAACTGTCCTTATGGAAAAAAAATAAAGAAACCATTGGAAATTCATTCCTGGAGTAAATAGAAATGTGCTGCTTTTATAATATTTCAAATGGGTCAGTAAACGCATCTTCATCTAAGTAACCAAATTAAGATTTTAAGAATGGAATTTGTCTGTCCAAAAATCTAGTAGAACTATAGGAAAGAAACAATAATGATTTACAAAGAAGTTTGGTATTGTTAGAATGACAAAGTAAAGTGGACGTGTTAACCATTTTTTCCCCAGAATACCAATCCAAGAGAGATGTCAAAGTCAATATATATAAGCTAACCCATAGGCATTCCAGTTAATCCTGAAATATTGGGAGTGGACTACCATTCTCGTTTCTCTCTTTGTTAACTCGCAATATACATCGAGATATTTCATGAAATTATTTTCTTTATGGCTTGAGGATGTCTTGTTAGGTTCTTAATTTGATGCTATTCTCATCAGTAGAGTTTTGCTATTCATGTGAAACACTAAGAAACTAGTAGCAAGAGCAACCAGGTCAAACAACATCCAAATCTTGAACTTTCAAGTATCCGGAGGGAAGAACTACTACAAGGAGCAAAAAATGAATAAAATGAACCATTATTTCTATGTGTATTAGACAATTGAAAACATAAAGTACATCTATATATGTAGTGGAATATCTCAAATGCAGAGTAGATTCTGGAAATCTCCTTTAACATCTCAAGGTGCCTTGTGTTTTTTCCATATTGCTCCTTCTATCTCTAAATGGAAAGTACAGTTTTCTCCCTAAAACATAATAAAATAGAGCATGTTTGAAAAAAAGGATTTGTAGATGGGGATAAAAAAGAAAATCTTTCCAATTTACTTCTCTTTTTCAACCATCTAATTTGGGCCGCTGGTAAGGGAAAGGAGGAAGGAGTTTATATTTTCAACTGCAACATAATTTCTTTTCTTTCTTTATTTCTTTATTTATTTATTTATTTTTAGTAAGAACTGCAACATAATTTCTTTATAAGCAAATGGGTGGTCTTGTGCTGGAGTATCTATGGAAAAGAAAGGTGGCTCTTGCCTCAGAAATAAATGAGGCATGCTTCACTAGAGATGGATCCCTCAAGGTACGCAGTAGAGTTCAATTTGAAAACTGTATTCTCATTAGAACTATGGATAGGTATGACTTATAACAAACTACCATGCATGCATTAGAGTAAAAATCCTCAAGCAATGAATCCACCCACAAAAATCTCTGCTATAAAACTTATTTAGATTTTTTTGATAATTCAGTATACTACTTTCTCTTTCACTTAAGTTTTCAGAATCTTCCTTCCTTTCCTATATTATATATTCCCTGCCCGCTCAATCCTATACTCACCCAGCACCCCCTTTCCTGATAAGGATACATGATTAGTATTGCAACTGTATAATACTATTCTTTTGCTAGCTTAAATTTTTAGTAAATAAAATCGCTCCAAAAAGTCAGCTATATCTTAACCAAGTTCAGAATCATGTAACAATAGAAGTACAACATTATAAGAACAAATCCTTTCATATCTACCTCAGTTATAATTCATGATAAAATATATCCGACGTGAGACTTCAATAAGAGAAAAGCATTTAAACAAAATGATGTTAATAATTTCGTTCATTGCATAAAGCAACATAACGTACTTGTACTCAGCACGTACTGATAACTTGTGGTTGGTTTTGAAGCACTTCTGAACTGAGAGTTTTGGTGCATGCCCAAAGGAAATGGACTTAGAGGAGAGATCTGAGGCCTTGATCAATCCCCCTAACCACAGAAGGAAAAAACGATAAAAAGAACTAAGCCCAAATACAACTGATTACTCTGTGAACAGAAACGAGCTAAGCAAAGAGCTAAAATTTGAAACGATCGAATTTCATAAACCAATCGAGATAACCACCTCCAATTTTCGTCCAGAAATTCACACAACAAATCCGAAAAGACCATAATTTTCTCGAGCGATAAAAAACCAACAATCAAACATTCAACAAACCACCTCGAAACTACGAAACGTCTACACAGCAACCGTTATCGAACTCAACGTTTTAATTTAAATGCAAAAGCCATCACCGGGGGGCATGCGTAACAAAGTTTCCAAAGAGATTGAATACGAAATATTTTGCTTCATAAAAACCATCCGTTTCCAGAGCTTTTCAATGCAACCTAACAGGCGATAATTACTAGGAAAAAAATTTCGATCTACTCAATCACTCAACACAAACACACAATCATGTGAATATGCATGCGGAAACAAATCACCGAACTACTATGACAAAGAGAGAAGAAAAAATTTACCAGACAGGGACAGCGAGGGAGAAAAGCAGGCAGCCATGTGGTTGGAAGAAGGGTAGAGATCTAGAGAGAGAGGAAGAAGAAGGAACAGGAGAGAGTGTTGGAGATAATCGCCTCATTGTTCGCCTCAATTACCATTTATATAATATTTGACTTTTCCTTCCAATTTTTTCTGAGTTAAATTGTCGATGAATTTTATGTAAATATTATGCAATTTCTAGAAAAAAAAAACATAAAATTATTTACATTAATAAATAAATAATTTATATTTTTTAAATGCCTGATGCCAATGTTAAACCTAATAGACGTGTGAAAATATCAATGAAAATTTAATATTATAGTGATTTTCTTTCAATACAGAATTTAAAATTTAAAATTGGCGTTTCTATTATAACATAAAAGAATAAAAACAAATTTTAAAAAATGTTTATATATTAATTACAATACTTGTTTTATTTTTTAAAAAAATATTTTTCGATATTTTTATAAAAATTTCTACAAAATTGAGAAATTTTCATTTTTATTGACAACAATTTTATTTTATTAATTAACGATTTGAAAAGATTATAATCCAAAAGGTATTCATATTATAAATAAATCTGATTAGAACTGCTCGCTTGTGATTTTAGTTTTTGAAAGGAGGAGCCCAAGCTGCAACAAGGGCTCGGTGTCATTATGTTAATAAAAAACGGCTCGGGGGATGTTAACAAACTGGTCTACTACCGAAACGAGACTTCATAAGTTTAAGGAAACTTTGTCGTTTCTAAATTTTTCTTCAACTTTGAAGAATGTTTTGCACAACTTTCTTATTAATAAACTTTACAAACCGTAAAAGTCTTACTAATAGGCTTTAATAACATCTAACTTAACGATTTGAAGTGTTTCTTCGAACCTTACTAGACCATGTACGATTCTTTAAAAAGGTAAACACTCTTGCATAAATAGAATGGTTGTCCTCAAACTCAAATATGAATGAAGCTTATGATTCAAATATAAGCTTCTAAATCATGGGAATAGAGAGATTACGGTCGGTGATCTAGACGATCTACCCTTACCATGAATTGTATTAAATTTGAAGCTTTACGAACCCATCGGGATATTTTCCCAGTAAACTTGAGAAGATTGGTCCTTAATATGATCAAAGCATATGAAGGAAAGCTTAGAACATGTCAAATCTAGTAGAGAAAGATGGAGACCTTATTAAAGGATGATCCTAATGCAGCAAAGAGGCAGAGTAGTGTTAAGGTGAATACATGGGTCTCTAACACCCGCGACTGTTAACAAGCAAATATTATTTCTGTTTCCATTCTACTTATATATACAAACGGCCGCAATTCTGATCTTAAACTCAAAAAGTGCTCAAATATGATGTGAATAACTAACAGCATAACCCAGAAACAGAACAAGGTGAAATAATTACTGGTATATACTTTTGAGGAGAGGAATATGAACAGATGGGAAAGCGGGTTCTTGCATAAGAGAGCCCTTGAAAGATCAACTAACCTGGTATACATTTTGTGGATCGAATCCAAATTCGACAACACAAACACGAGCGTAACTACAACATCATGCCTATTTCTCTGACAAACCCCCGAAGAGAATCAGTGAAGTGTTCACATGCCGCCGATCGGGGAGAAGCTGTTCTGATTTCGAAACGGTTTTTGTCGATTGTTGCTTCTCTGGGAATGGGAATGACAAAGACAATGTTAGGGATGCAGAGTCGTCTTCTTCCTCATCACCATCAATCATCTTTTCTGAGGACTCGCAGTGGTTATGTTTCTCATCCACTAAATCCATAAAGAAAGGGATCATACTCTTCTTTTGTAGTTTAGTTTCTGCCCCCAATGCAAGCTCAAGGTTCGGCACTGCATCCTGATATCGGTCCTCGGACTTGGATGGAAGATCTAGGTGGTGATCCTCTATTTGATGTGATTCCACAGGAAAGAAGTGCTTTTCAGCAGTTTCAAAATCTTCCGGAATAACATTCATATCACAAACTTTATCAACTCCCTTTTTCTGAAATAGAAACATGGGACCAATATCATTCCGTGGTGAGACGTATGCATCCGTTTGTGAAATTATACCACCTGAACTACAACTATTGTCATACGAGTTACCAAAGCCCGTCTTCGTCTTTTTGCTTACATGCTCTTCATCCAGAATTATACAATCCACCTCATCCCAAGAAGTACATTGACTAGCACCACTAGAAACTGGAGCTCTCGACTCAAATATTTCGATATGTTGGCGTTTTCTGTGATGGGAGTCTAGACAATGGATTCCTTCGGTATTTAAATCTCTTTTCAAAAGACCTTCGGAGTCTGAATTCCCTTCTACTGTCTGGAGTGTAACTTTCTCTCCTTCACAAACCAATCTATCTAAGATTTTCTCTCCAGTGCTAGTCTTTTTCACGTCATCAATGGTCTTGATTAATGTTGGCATATCTTCCGCTGCACCGAAGTCCAGCTTCACGTTCTTAGTATCATTAACTCCTACAATTTCTTTAACTTGAATGGATGGTTCAAATTGCTCGCCTTGTATGCTCTCTGAACGACCAGATTCCTTCTGCATAGTAGAACATCAGTGCATCTATTAATCAAAAGGGAAAAGGCGTGTTAAGAATCCAAAAGGAACAACTACACCAATTGAAAAAAGGAATGGGAAATAGAGATGTATACCACAACAACAACAACAACAAAAACGGAATGATAAAGAAATAAAAAGGAATAGTGATACCAGGAATAGGCTGGAGGAAAGAAAAGGGAACGAAAAAAAATAATCCAGTATTCAGTTATATTTTCTACAATCAGAAAAGAGATTCCAATTCACAACAAGTTGTAGCCAGATATCCAATGGACAACAATAAAACACATTCTAATCCACATTGTATTCATCTCCGAAATAAGCCCACCTAATCATCAATCAATTCACCCATATAACTGATGGGCAAACTTAGGATCACATTAGATTTTCAGTTCATCCAAGCACCTCCAAAACTTCTGCTAGAAAGCCTTCACAGTTTGCTGGTTCTGGCAGGCTAAACCAAGGTCTAGTCAAAAGAAACAAAACAACAACATAGAAAATAGCGATCTAATCTGTTAGGAGGAACTAGGATTATAAAGTGAAGAACGGGTGAAACATAAGGTAATTTATAAATACTAACAAGAAGGAACTAGAATACTTGACACATGAGCAAAAGACAAACATCATCCCACGTTAATCATTATACAACAAAAGACTCATAAAAGTTTAGAGAAGGCAAGTTCCAAAAATTTTAATCTCGACTCAGTTCCATGAAATAGTTCAAAATAATGTCTACTGTTAGTTTCCATCACCACAAGTAACAAAATGGAAATGGCACATAATATCAATTATATCAACATTATAAAAATAAAGATTCTGCAAAAACAAAACAAAAATTACTAAAAGAGAGAACTTTCATATATTCTTGTTGCTTTTGTGAAAAAAATCATTAATTAAACCCAAAATTATTAATTTACAAACTAAAAAAAAATTAGACACACAGGGGGAAAAAAAAAAATTAATAGATAAACAAAAGTGGGGAGTTTTCCAATCAGTCACCTTCCTACTCGAAATTTAAAGATAAAATGGAAATTTTGTCCATTTCATTTTGGGACGGGGGGAATTCAGTATCCTAATTTTAGCCTGTACTTGTAGGATTGGTGAAATGGTGCGGGGAAAATGAAAGGCTTTGGCTTCAAATTATTGAAAACATTCAAACTTGTGAAGGAGAATATTAGATGTTAAAGCAAAGCAGTTGAGAATCTAGGGGATAAAAGGGTGGTAAAGCAGCACCGTGGACCTGGATATTAAAGAGAAACTTGTAAGATTTGACAAAAAAGGAAAGTAATCTAATGATGCAGTTGGAGAAAGACAATATAATCAAAGCTTTCACAAGCAGTATATACTGGGTTCAAGGAAGCAGAATTGTTCACTCGTACTTCAGTGCAGGCACTTGGGAACTCTAAAGTTCCAGATCCAGATGGATGTTTGGGTGATTGCCTCAGAAAATTCTACAACATGTTTAAATATGCTTTCTTAGAGATGTTCCAGGACTTTTTTCTTTTTTTTTTGGGGGGGGGGGGGGGG